GAGCGGTTCCCGCAAATATCAAGCAAAGGGAAAAGGAAAAGAGAAAGAGAAAGCTCTCTCTGATGTAAACATTGATGGAAGAACTCAGAAAGATATAGATGATGATGGTGATGATGATGCTGAGAGTTTTGGGAGCGTGGAAAGTTGTAACAGTGCCGGTTTGGTAACGAGGGGCAAGAGAAGAGCAAACTTCGAGGGGCAGATGATTGTGGGGAGCAAAAGGCTCAAAATGCAAATTCAAGAATGTCAGGGGTCAACTTCGAAACTCAGGCAAGATAGTTCCTTCATGAACTGGATATCCAACATGATGAAGGGATTCTGGAAAGCAAATGAAGAAAAAGAAGAGGACCACTCTCCTGCCGGAGCTCTCACTGTCACAGAGACAGATGATCATGTTAACAGGAACGATGATCAACAACACTATACCGGTTTCCAATCCTTTTTCCAGTCCATATATTGCCCAAGGAGAAACATTCAAGATGCTTGTGTGAATCTCTTGGATGAGGAATGTGATACTGATGCTGCCCCTTTAAGCTGCCGTGGGAAGTTGCTTCCAAACTTCCAGGAACAAGTTCTCGTTACCAATGGGAATCATGTGTCAGTGTCTTCCGAGAACAAAAACTCATGCAACCACGAGAGCTATTCAGACAAAGACAGGAAAAGCTCTCCTCCCTCGGGTAACAAGTCTAAGCCGAACCGAGATAAAACATCAGACCCTGAACCTGATGGAAAAGAAATTCAAACTTTCGCCAATAGGAACAGTGCTCTAAGAAGTTTATGGATAAGCAGGTTTTCTTCAAGAAACTCTTGTCTGCAAAGCAACGGACATCATGATGGAATTTCTTCAATCAATATCAGAGTCCAGGAGGCAAATGAATCGGTTTCAGTTATGGTTAAAACCCGTGATTCCCAGGAAATAACAAAGGAGGATTGTGCCCGGGGCTATGGTAACTCAAACTTGATGCAGAATAACCTGAATCTCGTAGTTGCTTCCCCGAGAATAGAATCATCGGAAGCATTGGCTTCTCTGTTTGCAAGAAGACTGGGTGTGATCAAACACATCGTCCCATTGGATTTGGCCGGGAAAGTGGAGGGATCGGTGGTGACCCTAACCTGTTTCTACTGCGGGAAAAAGGGTCATCATCTACGGGATTGCTCAGAGGTAACCGATAACGAGCTCAGAGATCTACTTATCCGAAACATTAATGCTCAGAACGGAAGAGAGAAGGCTTCTGGTGTATGCATTAGATGTTTTCAGCTCAACCACTGGGCTGCCACATGCCCGAATGCTCCATGGCGCAACTCAAGAGCCGAAGGAAACAAAAGTAGACATCTCGAGGGGACAATAGCCGGAATGATGGCTTCTACTTCCGGTCCGAAATTCTCTGTTCAAGATTCCGGTGACAATCAAGCCATAGATGTACCAGAGGCAGTCTTTGACGCTGTCCGAGTTCTCCGCTTGTCCAGAACAGATATTCTCAAGTAAGTTGCTGGTTCATGTCACGTTTGAGACTGTTGTTCTCATGTCTGGAACTATTGTCACAGTGTGGCATCATTCTTGATCTGTGCCCATCAAGTTTTGGATTTCAATCTTTGATTTGCCCATCAGGTGGATGAATTCAAAGGTGTCTGGATCGGATCTTGAAGGGTTTTTCTTGCGGTTGAGGCTCGGGAAGTGGGAAGAAGGACTCGGAGGAACAGGGTACTACGTCGCCTGCATAACCGGTATACATACATATATGTATATGTGTGTGTGTGTATATACCACTGAATCAAATCACTATTGGTTCTTGAATGTTTGGGTGATTCGTGTCGGGTTTTTTTGACAATGAGGTAATTACAGGGACAGTGGAAGAACAAAGTTCAGCAAGAAGGTCGGAGAACTCGATCTCGGTTAAGGTCGGAAGGACGACTTGTTTGGTCGAGTCTCAGTATATCTCCAACCACGATTTTCTTGAGGTAATTAAGATATTAACGGCAAATTTGTAAAAAAAAATAATATTAATTTTTATTAATTTTAAAATGGGTTTTTGGGCAGGAGGAGCTGACGGCGTGGTGGCGGGCCACCGCTAAAAATGGCGGCAGCGTTCCGTCGGAAGAGGAACTTCGTCGGAAAATTCGACAGAGAAAAATGTTAGGCTTCTAGCTTCTTATTTATTAGCAAGTTGTGTATTATTTGATTATAAAAAAAAAAGTTGTGTATTATATATTCAAATTTAATGAAGGCAATTTAAATTAAAAATTTATCCACCATGCTCAATCATACGGAAATAAGATTGTGGTTTGATGTTGGATTTTTGTTCATCTTTCGAAATTATGTGCATTATGAATTTTTAGATACGTCAATTATATTTTTATATTTGTATGGATTTGTATATGTATATGAGTATTTGTGTGAGTGGAGGATGTTAAATATCGGCAATGATTAATTCCGACAAGAAAAAACATAAAGAAATGATGGAATAACAAACCGCAATTTAAATAAAGGAAATGATTAATGATGTGATACGGAGGTTTTCCGTCACGCATTACACGCTAATATAAAATGCAATTAAAATACTAAAAATATTAAATAATCCACAAATTGCGACGAGGAAAAGTCAGAGAGAGAGAGAGAGAGAGGAGAAAATAAAAGTCGCAGGTCGTTCTTAGTGCTTCCCCTCAACGCTCTCAGAATCTCATTTCAACTCCAATAATCATGAAACCTTCAGGTAATGCGCCTCCTCTCTCTCTCTCTCTCCCAGTAAACAAACACCACCAGATACTAATATTCTCTCTCTCTCTTATTAAGTTCCTTCAGAAGAAGGTGGGGATGGAGGCAAAGCCGTTAATCTCAGACATCTCCTACTCGGTTCTCTGGCTGGTATCGCCGCCGCGTCTGTAGCCGCCATCGCCGGAAAAGCTCTCCGGAGATCGGGAGAGTGTTCCATGAAGGACAACAGGATCGTTCCTCTGGTCGAGAGGAGAGAGTCAGGTCACCGTCTGAACATCGAGAGGTTCTCCCACTACGTTGGTACGGATATATACAATCTATACATACATGTATATGTAATGGTGGGTTTGACTTATGTGTGTGTATTTCTGGGGATGAAATGAACGAAGGGAGGCAATTAGGGTTTGAGGATGCGAATGAATGCCCGCAGCTCTGCAAACTGGCGAATGCGTATCTGAAGAAATCGAAAGGATACGAAGAGGACATATTCGAGTATTTGGGGAACGAAGCGGAGGCCGATTCCCTCTACATTCTTCTCATCGAAGAATTCGAGAGATGCATCCTCTCTTATTTTGCTTTCAATTGGACCCAAGCTTCCAACATCATCACTCAGGTACATACATACATGTATATATCGATTTTTTATTAGTAAATTTAATTTCATCTGTTTTTGTTTGTTTATTCGGATTGATTAGTTCGCTGATAGATACGTTTGGTCATGTCATAATGATAAATTAATTAGACTAATTATTAGCTTTTTGAGCCATTAGGCTAACCACGATTCCGGTTTTGGGTCGGTTTTGGTTCGGTTTTAAGATTAGAAAAAAGAAACATAAATTTATGAATATAAACCAATAGACACCGTGGAATTTTATATGAATGTTTGCCTTGCCTTGTATGAAATTTTTCTGTAAAAGGAATTAAAATTCTCTATATAAGAATTTGATTAAGATTAAACCGAGGGTCAGGTACGGTATATGAATAGAGGTTTCGGTTTAGGTACGAGTTTGGAATGAAACCAACACGTGAATCTTGATGGGGTTAGGTCTGATGTCACGTCAGTATATTACTGTATACACTCCGTAACATTCTAATTGCTGAACAATGCGTACGATTCAGATCATTCTCATTTTAACTATATTATCTGAAATTGTATTCTGCTTTTTTATTTTTGAAAATGAAGGTTTTGGGTGATGAGCTGGATCAGAAAAACCCTAAGTTCAAGGACTTTGTAATGGCAGCGACAAGGTTTGACACATCTTTCCCACTTTTGTGTGTATATATATATATGTGATATAGACACGTTTAAATTACACATACCCATAAAGAAAATGTGCAATGATTATAAAAAAATACATACCGAATCAAATTGCAACACATAAGAACGTGGTACGAACGTCGCGGAGAGCGCGGAGTGCTTTCTTGGGAGTCGCGCATATAAAATTATAAAAAACATATATATATATGCTATATATAATGTATGTATGTATACATGTATGATAAAATAAAAATAAAAAACAGGAAACTGAGGTTCGAGAAGGTGACGAAGGATCTGAAAGTGACGAGGGTATTCTCGACATTGGTGGCGGAGATGAAAGCCATAGGAGAGACCACCAACTGTACGGAAGTGATGGCGCCTGTCTCGCACAGCAAACGCAGCCCCGTCCTCCTCCTCATGGGCGGCGGCATGGGCGCCGGCAAGAGCACCGTCCTCCAAGACATCCTCAAAGAGTCTGTCTTTTTTCCGACACCAAATCCAGTCTCAATCAATCTTCACTTTCACACATTCATCGGTTCATCCGTTCGCATGGGCAGGTCATTCTGGTCGGAGGCTGGGGCCAACGCCGTGACGGTGGAGGCGGACGCCTTCAAGGAGACCGACGTCATTTACAGAGCTCTCAGCTCAAGAGGCCACCACGACGATATGCTTCAGACCGCCGAACTGGTCCATAAATCGTCGACGGACGCAGCATCGTCGTTACTGGTGACGGCACTGAACGAGGGACGGGACGTGATAATGGACGGTACACTGTCGTGGGAGCCATTCGTGGAGCAGACCATCGAGATGGCGAGGAACGTACACAAGCATCGCTACCGGATGGGTGTCGGCTACAAAGTCACCGACGACGGTTCCGCCACCGAACATTACTGGGAACAGATCCCTCCCCACGAAGAGGAAACCGTCCGCCATGGCCGGAAACCTTACAGGATCGAACTTGTCGGCGTTGTCTGCGACGCTTATCTCGCCGTCGCCCGAGGCATCAGGTGTATATATATATATATATATATATAATGAATCTTCTATTATTGAAATTTTGAGAATCAAATGGTGGATTAAACGATATTTTACACAGGAGAGCGATAATGGTGAAGAGGGCAGTGAGGGTGAACTCACAGTTGCGATCCCACAAGAGATTCGCCAATGCATTCCCAAAGTACTGCCAACTAGTGGATAACGCTCGGCTCTACTGCTCCAACCCCGTTGGTGGTCCTCCACGTGTAATTATAACCGAAAACGATGCCGTTTTCTATTCCACTGCCACCTCCACGACGTCGTTTTCGAGAGTCATGACGCGTGTCACTTTTTTTTTTGCAGCTTATAGCGTGGAAGGACAGCGAGAGTAAGCTTCTGGTGGACCCAGAGGATTACGATTGCCTGAAACGGGTCAGCAACCTAAACCCGGATGCTGATTCTATTTACGATCTTTACCCGAATTCGAGCCCAATAATCAAGCCCGGTTCTGTTTGGAACGACGTCGTTTTAGTTCCCTCTAGGCCCAAGGCCCAGAAAGAGCTGGGCACTGCCATCAAGAGAATCGAAAAGGCCCTTCTCAAAGATGGAAACTATGTCAATTAGAGGCCTTTAGACGCTTTCTTTCTTTTCTTTTTTTTTTTTTTTGGTTTCATGGACCCTTATTTTATTTCGGACATCTAATAAATAATTTCCGCGCCGATATAAATAAAGTGATCTTTTTTACCTCTTCATTTTTACGCCGTAATTATATCACTAAAAGGGTGAATGAATCACATTGAATTCGGACGTAATATTTTACCCTTTATTGTCCAGTTATATCTTATGCCGTACAATAATGTTTTATTTTGTTAATACAGACAAAAGATTAAATCTTTTAAAGAAATCGATTTTATTTGATGAAGATAGTAATTAGAAGAGCTATTTTACATATTCGCAATTCGGATAATATTTTCTCTCTAGTGGTGTTTTCTAAACGGCTTTTTGTTTGTAAGAATAGATAAGGACACCGCTTTCGTTTGTAAATATTTGGGCTACATTGAAAACGTTTCAAATATACAGACCCTAAACTGCAAATACAGAATTTTGCCTCTAGGGTTACTTCGTCTCGGCTCATATAAATTCTCTGCCGAACGGCCCTTTGTTCGTTTTCGCTCACAAAGCCGACGCAGCCACAGTCTCGCATTACGTGCTTTTAGGGTTTATCCATCGACGAGGTCCAACAATGGTTAGTCTCCCTCTGTCTCTGAATCTTCTTCTCTGATCGATTCGTCGAATAGATGATCGTAAGTGTATGCGAATACGTAGGCGGATGTCGAGCCAGAGGTTGCAGCGGCGGGACAGCCAAAAAAGAGAACGTTCAGGAAGTTTTCCTTCAGAGGAGTCTGCTGTGGTTTCCTTTAGTGTGCGAAAGTCGCACAGTGTGAAAGTAACTTGACAGCAGGCACAACCAAGTTTTGGAGAAATTATCACACAATGTGAAACCGGCACCACTGACTCTTGGAGACAACTATCTAATTGATATATGTCTGAAATTTTTTTGGCGGTTGGATGCTTCATTATCTCTAATATACCACTACCGGTTTTGACTCCCTAAGAATTGGAGAGGGTAAACCCCTAAAAGAGGATCTGGGAAGAATTTTCTTTTGATCTATTTTTTCTCGCAGAAGGTGAGATTTCGGACCTGACAATGCGTAGGTATTAGCACGTAGGTTGCTTTGTAATGGAGGGGTTTGTTGGCTCTAATCTGGGTATGTCTGATGATTGCTATTTGGATTTTGTAGGTTCAAGAGAGGATTGACGAGGAAGCCGATGGCCCTGATCAAGAAGCTCCGTAAGGCGGTAATTTTCGTTCATTATGATTTCTCTGTCATATGATTGGACCTGTTTTGGATTCACTGTTATTCTTCTCCTTTGAGACCTCCTTGACTAACACAAAATGCGGCCCACACGATTGCATAGTGTAGTTTCTGTCATTTGGGTCCTATACTTGTTCTTCGTTAGGATTAAGTGTGTTACCTCGGTTTGTTTCCGTGAGTTCAATAGCTTTGGTTTGAATCTGAAACGTAGATCTTGTGGTGCTGTTGTTGATTTTCCAGTTTGTTTTTCGTTTTGATTCTGTTAATTGAGATTATTTAGCTAATTTTGTTTGTATATTGGAGAAGTAATCTGCCTGTTTTTTCTTCCGGAGTTTTTGTGATATTTTGGGTATGTGCTTAATGTCCGGGTCATACAAGTGATGCAGTTTCTTTGGCAGCATGCGTATTGGTCTTGCAAATTGGATTTTCCAAAATGGTGTCCAATTTTTCTTATTGATTTTTCTCAATTGGTTTATGTATAATTAGTGGAGTTTCTGCCTCTTGAGAATTACTCTGCTTGTTCACTTATATAACTCTGGAGTCTGGATTAGTATCGTAATCTTTCCTTGATGGTATATATGTATGGATGTTTTGTTATAGTCACCTCATAGTTTTGAAAGTGTGAATTCAAAGGGGTTTATCTCATGTTTTCTCGTCGTTTCGGGACTGGTCCAGCGAGGGAAATACTGATAACAAACTCTTGTTGAATTGCCAGAAAAGAGAGGCGCCGGCAGGTGAGAAGCCAGAACCAGTTAGAACCCACCTGAGGAACATGATCATAGTGCCAGAGATGATCGGAAGCATCGTTGGAGTGTACAACGGGAAGACGTTCAACCAGGTCGAGATCAAGCCCGAGATGATCGGTCACTACTTGGCCGAGTTCTCCATCTCCTACAAGCCCGTCAAGCACGGTAGGCCTGGTGTCGGTGCCACTCACTCATCCAGGTTCATTCCCCTCAAGTGATGGCCTTTTTACCCTTTCATTACTAGTCCCTTGTTGTATGCCCCCCTCCCCCAATCTAGGGTTTGGTTCCTTGTCTTGTCTGTCTATGGACCTTGTTAATGTTTTCTCGCTCGTTTTGATGCTTTCTGTCTTAGATGTCTCAGAACTCTTTGTCCTGCTTTCACAGAATGATGGATCTTTGAATCATTTGGGATTATTTTTTTTGCTTTTTGGGCATTATTATATCCTTCAGTGAATGCTGTCGGTGTTAAATTAAGCCGTAATTTTTAAGGGTCGGGATTATAAACAGATAATGAGGTTAAAATTACTGAGATGTGAGAAAATTATTGTTATTTAGTTTAAGAACCCACGTTAATGCTGTAAATGTTTGAAGAAACCTTTCATTCGGTCTGTGAATGTTTCAAACTTGAAAAGAAAAAAAAAAGTCAAATGAGTGCTGATGGTAGTAAATCTATATATATTAAAAGTTGTGTTTGAAGGCTTCTGGTGAAGCCACCTAAGCATCTATGTGGCAAATATTTTACTTTTCCTTGGTGTTTAAAAATATTTATTTTTTTAAGACTTACTAAAAATCTAATAACCTTTAAATATCCATGTAGGCATGGTTATTTGTATATTAATTGGTTTTTAATATGCGGCCAAAAATAACGTCTAATCCTGAAGTCAGAACGTGTAGTATTCCTTAGTCCTATTACAATAGTCATAACGTCTATTATTCCTCATTCCTATTATTTAACGCTTAAAATACCTATTATTCCACGTTGCATCTATTGAAATTCGTTTTTATATCTCCCACTATTTAAAAGGTCTGACAGAAACATTTTACCCATAACGCCATTCATGCTTTTCCGTCCAACAATTTCTTATCATTACAATTATTATTTTTTTGTGTATTTTCGGAGCCATCTTCTTCCCGGGATGGGGAAACGGGTTGAAAACAATGGTCCGAATGGAGAGCCTGGTAAGTTATAGTTCGTTCCCCTTGAATTTAGAATTAAAATGTCATTTGTTAGCTATCCATTACGCCCAACAGTTTAATGGTGCAAACCCGACATAAGCTGTTTTCGTTCACGTCTTCCTCTTACGAGAAGGGATATGAGGAAGTAGATATTATTGGCTATTAAAAGTATGCAGAATTTGACCGAAAAAGTTAGAATCGTGGTGTGTAAGCCGTCGTGGTTTCAGCTGAAGGCAAAACTGATGGCGAGAAATGATAAATTGGAGATGTACGAGGATGCGGTACTATGACACACACATGATTTAATTTTCAATTGTAAGAATAGCTTAAACTATATATACTTTTGGAATTTCGATTGATCTATGTATTTGATTTTTAAAATTTGTACTGTGAATATGATGAATATACTTAATTTTATGTTACAAACATCTAAATTAATTAAATACAATAATTTAGCACATAAAACACATTTTCATCTTCCTCCATGTATTCCAACGAATGATTTGGAGTGGATGATTCCTAGAATACAAATCTTTATTTTTGGTAAACAAGAATACAAATCTTTCAATCTATAGAACATAAACAAAGGATGCTTTGGAATAAGATGTTTCTCCGCCACTCCTCTCATGTAAACCCTTACTATTGCTTACAACTGCATTGCACTGTGTGTACATATATATTGAGAACTGATATTGGCCTACCTGAAAACTCTATAGTGCCCATATTGCAACCTTAGATTATATATTATTGCAACTTTTATTTGCTTATTTTTATATTTAGAAAAAAGCTCAACATTGTATTATTAAAACAACTCTATTTTACTATTAGTTTTATGTCTTACTATAATTTTAATTTAATTCAATTTATAAATAGATTTTATTTGTTATCTTTTTTATTTATCTGAATACCATTATCAATCGAACATTTTTTGTTGACTAATGTTTAGAAAAATCATCTTTATTATATTTAGTCCACTTATATCACCATTATTATTTGGTCTTCCCCTAACTTAATTGGTGTTAAGAAAGAAGATTTTATTATTTGGATATTTTTGCAAAGAAATTCGAAGGATTATCATGAAGCCACATCATCATCATCCTACATGACACAATTTCAAATTCTGATGGGCTTTTATGGATCATGAATTATTATAGTGTTGTATTAATATGTAAGGTAATCTGACAATTTTTGAATAAGTTTTAACTGTTAAAATAATAATATGAGAATATCATGTTAAAAAAAACAGAATTTTTTAACTTTGATTACATAAAGATATATTTTTTGTTTTATTTTTATATATGTTAGAAGAGATAACCTTGCATCTCTTGGCTATGTCTTCATGTACATTTTTTAATATAAATTATTATCATCATGTACTTCCTAAGAGGAAGGTAAGTTTCGCTTCAATTCCTCTTTTGCTCTATTCACTTCTTTACTATTCATGGTGGCTTTCACTTTGGAAATTTTTTCTGTTTCCAGAAAAATTCTAATCAAGTGTTTCCTTTCGGAAATTTTAGATCTGCAGCTGGAGTTGAATGATAAAATTTGCGATTAAAAAAAATCATAATTGACTTTCTCTAATGCTTTGATATTTTACATATATATACATATGGAATGTAGCCAGTTTCTAGAACATCAAATCAAAGGTGCAATGCTCCTTCCCTTTGAGTTTCTCTTTCGACTTCAAAATATATTTCTTAAGCATGGCTGGGTTCTGATTATTAACTTTGATTGAAATTTATCAGGTGGGTGGAATATGAGTGGTTTAAGCATGGCTAGACATTCTGTCATTTTCGATAAGTAAAATATTACTCTATAATTTTGTAAGTTTATATTTATTGTAAAACATTTTAACCATTTTGGTGATTTAAATAGAATTTAATATTATTATTATTATTTAATTTATTAATTAAAGTTTGAATTGATGTGTTTGTTTTAGATTTTCATGTGAAAACATGATTTATGTACATGGTGTGTATATATATATATTGGATAAATGATATTATTATGAATAATTAATTTCAAACTTATTCATTATAATATTCATTCTTATCAAAGTTATGAATATCGCTAATAACAAACTTAATAAACTTAATCATTTTTCATTCAATTTATTATTATCTTTAATAAAAGATAAATTAAAAATTTTAAATGTATATAATAAAATTTAAATTGAAGTTGAATCATTTAAATCGACAAATATATGTTATACATACAGGATGTGTATGAAGAAATAACGTCGGTATATATATATATATGTATCTATGTGTGTATATATATGTGTATATATATATAATATGTAACTATATATATATATGCGTAGCAATAAAAAATACTCAATATATGCAATATATTAATATTTATTTATTTTTGTTGTTTATATATATAATTTTATAATGATTTAATTTTATAAATGTTTTTTTCCCTAAATAAAAAAATAACGCATGATATATTTCACTAAATTTATCTCATCAAATATTATAATTAAAATAATTACCAAAAATTCCTCTTTATTACATTAAAAATCCATTTGGACCTTATTTTTTAAAAATCGAGCATAATGAGCCGAAATCCATACTAATCTCGAGACTCAGAGCCAACCATATGATTCGAATTCGGAGTAGAACAGACACTTTGAATACCCAATTCACCGGTTAAGCTATCCAAATTGGGTATTTTGATCTTAACTTTTATATATCATTATGGTTTTTATTTGATAAAAAGAAAATGAAGATAATACATGTTTTGATCTTATTTAGATATTGTTTAATAAGTTCTGGGGGATGACATTTCGGTGTATTGTTCAAGATGAAGTTTTACAATTTATGATTCAAAAGAAAAGTTTTAAACTTTGATCTCGAAGTGGAGAAAGAGAAGTTTTTATAGGTATATGGTCTGTGAAACAAAGTGTGTAGGTAAAATCTTCAATTTTTTTTGTTGCATTATAATATAATAGCGACGGTATAAATATGTAGAAGTGAATGTTCAATGTATACAAAGAACTGAAAAATGGTAAAATATACTATGATGAATGTAGATCGAAACATTTTACATAAATTTTTTAAAAAATATTATGTATATTTTATTATTCTAACATTTTCCATTATTATTCAATTAAAAAAATTGAAATAAAATTTTTCCCACAGTGCAAGGAGAAATAGGGTAAGACCAGCAATGATAGTGACTATACATGCATTTCATCCCGAAAAAATATGTAAAATTACTCTAAACATATTTTTTCAAAAAATATATATGAATAATTTTACATTATAATAATGTAATGATATTTAAATTCCTCCATTTCTTCATATATATATATATATATATATATGTATATATATATAAAGTTACACTACATATATTCTAATATTTTTTCCATAACATCAAAACAAATATATTACAATAATAATAAAAAGAATAACCCGCGCATCGCGCAGGTCTCATCTAGTTATTTTAATAATACAGCGATCGAATACGTAAATTTATGTATCCAGTACAAAGTAATGGTCAAATAAATGACAGTGGGGAATTTGTAATACAATAAATGAAAATAATAATAACAATAATGATAGTAAAAGTCAGCAAAAATGTGATGGTGGTGGGTGATGAAATGAAAACCATAACCTTCAGTATTTGGAGAAGGGAGGTTGGGGGAGAAAGAGAAGTTTCCATTCAGCTTCTTGGAGGGTTTTTTCCACTGTCTTTTCAACCTCGTCTCCTGCTATCTGCCAAATCCCGCCCACCATCAATTCCTCTTCTCCTCTGTTCTATGCCTCCATGTAAATTATATTATACATATATATATATATATATATATGTGTGTGTGAAGTACCTGAGTTTCGACGCTCATGACCGTGGAGAATTCTTGTGGCGAGAACTCAGCTTGAATAGTTATGGGTTTTGCCCCCAAAGCTTTTAGGCACGTGAGGGTTTCCAACATGGAATCTGCCCCTGAAACTGGATCTTCCACTTTTAACTCTACCTTCTTCCCCTTCCCATTCTCCATCATTTGGATTCTCCTCTCTAACTCTTTCTTCTCTCTCTGCAACTCCTCGATCCTGTTCAACGCGCTCTGGACTATCGAGTTCTTGTCCTTCTGAAACCCAAAAAAGAAAAACATTTTCGAACCCATAACTTGGAAGATGAATGCATTTTGATGCCAAATGGTTAGTTTTACCTTGGTTCCTGCGGGTAAAAGAGAATGCAGAGCGAAGTAACTCTGTCTCTGTTTCTCTCTTCTCACTCTCTCGTTCATCATATGTCGCCGGCATCTCTCTCTCGCCGGAGCCGCCGCTTTCCTCTTCTCCTCCCAGTTACTTCTCATCAAATCCACCATCCTCTTCTTCAGGTTCTTCTCCGCCTCCGCCGTTGTTCCTCCACCGCCGCCGGCTGGTTTATCCGGCGAACCCCTTTCTGGGTTCCTCGTGTATGGCCTGAAAGCGCTCTGTTTCGCGACAGAGGCATTGGTCTCTTCTCCGACAACCTCGTACCAGAACGTGTCTTCTTCTGGGAACACGAGATCTGGCGAGAACAAGTGATGACCATCCATCTGATCCTTTTTTTTCCTTCTCTTCCTCTGTTTCTGGGAATCTTCGAGCTTCAGTTCCATATATATATATATGTTTGATTTGGACACGTTTGTTGCTTGTGTAAATTACAACACGTGAAGCATATTCACCACGTGGTCGTTCATGATCATTTTGTTGGTGTATCGAAGAATTTCTACATGGAAATGGGAAGTCAATAAAGGGTTATACTTTCTGTCTCCTATCATCTCCGTATTAGTTTAACGCGAACGTGTATTAGTTATATGATTAGGACGTAATTACCTCAATAAGTATTCTTAGTTGGCGAGTAATTAATCAAGTTTAGCTATTGAAGCGTTTGTGGACTAGTCACACTATAGGAAACTTCCTAGTTGCCCAGCCCTCGTCTCAGTCTTGCCACAAGTGTATATTGTTAAAATGGGGAAACAAATATAAATTTAAGAAGATTGAAATTGATTGGAAATAATTATGAGGATCATTGAGAGAAATTAAAGATACAAAATCAATTAACAAATAATGATAATTGTGTCAATTATCTCTTGATTTATTTGTTTCCATCATATATTATTTCTTTGTAAATTTTTTTCTTTAATTATTTTATAATTGTTTCTTATAAATAGATGAGTTATTTTCATTGTAAAACAACAAGAAGAAGAGATGTAGTAATAAAAGTGTTCTTTGTTTTATTTTTTTTCTTCTTTTCTCTCTTTTCAATTTTCGCATTTTATTTTTCAATATGGTATCATAGCAGCGTTATGATGTGATCTATATATTTCTTTTTTTTTCTAGTTTTTATTTTTCTTCTCTCTTCGTTTTTGAGTTCTTAATGTTCATATATCCAAATGGTTTAAAGTGGAGTAAAATCTAGAATCAAACGAAGTGTTATGACAAAAAAAATCAAAGCTAGAAAAAAACTCTAAGATCAAACGAAGTGCTATGACAAAAGGAGATAAAGGCAGAATTCAACGATCAAACGAACTGATTTGATGATGGATCAAATCTCTCAAGAACCAGATTGGTATCTATAGATCATTTTATTAACAATGAATTACTCATCGAGTTTTTAGATTATTTCAGGTATTCTCTCCAAAATTGACCTTTTACATTATCTCCAAGTCAATCTTGAAGGTAATGTTAAAATGAGGAAACAAATATAAATTTAAGAAGATTTAAGAAGATTGAAATTGATTGGAAATGATTATGAGGATGATTGAGAGAAATTAAAAACACAAAATCAATGAACAAATAATGATAATTGTGTCAATTATCTTTTGATTTATTTGTTTCCATCATATATTATTTCTTTGTAAATTTCTTTCTTTAATTATTTTATAATTGTTTCTTATAAATAGATGAGTTATTTTCATTGTAAAATAACAAGAAGAAGAGATGTAGTAATAAAAGTGTTCTTTGTTTTATTTATTTTTTCTTCTTTTCTCTCTTTTCGATTTCCACATTTTATTTTTCAATATATATTTATTACACTGTATTTCCATTACTCGTATAGATATTACATATTTATTCCATATGATATTTATTTACAATGAATTTCTTTTCTATCATTTTATTACGAACATTCGTTTTAACCCATGAAATAAGATAATTTCGCTTATATATAACTATTTCAGGGCATATGGAATGATTTGTCCAATTTTTTTTTTATGCAATGGATAATATAACACCAATTTATATTGTATGGTTATAAATTTCTTTAAGATTAGTAAAATTGGATCAAAGACAAATGGGCTTTAGTTATATGGGCTTAGACCGTCTTGACTTCCATGTCATCAACCTTTCTTCTTCTTTTTCTTTCTCTGTAAGAAACTTTGCAGAGATCTCTCACATCTTAGAAAATCTAGGGTTTCAGAATTTTCTGGAATCCAAGAGCGAGTAACAACAATGGCGAGCCATATAATATCTGGATTCAAAGAGACCGTTCAGTCGATCACCGGAGCAGCTCGTCCGTGGCGTGATTTTCTGGATCTCTCCGCCTTCAGCCTCCCGTCCTCCGTCGCCGACGCCACCACCCGCGTCTCACAGAACCTCACACATTTCCGTATCAACTACTCTATCATCCTCTTCTTCCTCCTCGCAGTAACCCTAATCACACGCCCGATCGCGATCCTCGCCTTCATCTCTGTAGGCTTCGCCTGGTTCTTCCTCTATTTTGCTCGCGAGGAGCCTCTCACGATATTCGGCTTCTCCATCGACGACGGCATCGTGGCGGTGCTCCTCATCAGTCTGACGATTGCCGCGCTCGTCACCACCGGAGTCTGGCTGCAGGCTCTCTCCACCGTCGGATTCGGCGTCCTGCTCGTGATCCTGCACGCCGCGCTCAGAGGAACGGAAGATCTAGTGGACGATCTCGAATCACCGTACGGACCGATGCTCTCCGGCGCCGGCGGCGACAACGATGGCGCGCGTGGAGATTACAGCGGTATATGATCAATTCCTTATTTGGTCGATGCACATTTGGGGATCTAGTTTTTTACACTCCGAATTGGACATGTAAATCCGAAGTGGTTGTGCCATAGACAACATTGCTGAAGCAAACGGATGGTTCAGAAGGAACAAACTGTTCAAAAACTAAACCAGATTCAAACCGGTTCCTCTCAATCCCCCCCGGTCCGGTTTGACATGCATACATTTCAAGAAAACTGAGTAAACCACAGAATATGGATTCGTAAACCGATATCAACCGGCTAGTGAAATAAATGAAAACCAACGGTTATCACTCAACCGAATTATAGCTAAGGTATTCATTCAAACCGGTTCTATACGTGAAGATTCAACCGTTCACAGACCAATCCAAACCGAACTGATGACCCGGTTACCAAATGAGGAAATTAACCAGAAGCTGGCAACGACTTCGTATCCTTAGCCCTTTACCGCGAGAGACTGCAAATCATCGAGGAAATCTTGGAGGCTTAGATCATCGGTGAGGACGATATCCGAGCCGCCGGTATAATCCGACTTCTGAGTAACGGACGGGTTCAGTTTCGCCAGAAGAAACCGAGCCTGGCTACCGTGCTGGTCGCACCTCACGAATCGCGGCACAGGAATCCGATCAGCCACCAGTTGCTCCGCATCAATCTCCGGCGCCTCCAGTAACTTCCGGAATGTCTCGTGGTTCGGATCCTTGTGGTAACCGAGTTTCCGCCACTGAGCAATCTTAGAGCCGTGGTGGACCACCACATAGAAGTACGAGTCGAACAGCAAAATTGCGTCGGAGGTAACCGAGCGGATGTCGAGGAGGACTGGAACCGGTGGCCCGTCGAATGAATATCGAAGAAGCGTTGGTTGAATCATGATTATCGAGTTCACCACCCCTTCCCGGTTCAGTATTAACCGGAAATAACCGGTTTCATCAGGGGAGTTGTTGAAAACGTCAAGAAACTGAGATCTTCTTAAATAGAACATGAACTGAGGGTAGAGTGAGAAGTTCGGCGATAAACGGAAAGAAGATGGATCTTCCTCGATATAATCTCCGAATCTCGAAGAGAATCTGATAAGTCCGTCATCTAGCCATCGTATAACGTCTCGTGCATAACACGTCTCTGCTCGATTAATCGCTAGCCGTGACATCACACAGGCCGCCGTTTCTTGATCGAACCCAGAAGAAATCTCTGGCGACTTTCCACCGACCCACCGTCTGGCTACCGTCGTAACTCTTCTTCTCACTCCCGTATTTCCGTACCGGTACCGGGTGATGAACTGAACGAAGAATGCAGACCCAGGTTGCGGTTTCGGCTGCTCGCTTCTAACCTGGAAGAAGAACGCAATGCAGGTCTTGTTCGTGATCGTGCTCGTCTTCCAAATATACGTACCACCTTCCCCGATCTCTGTATCACTCACTATATCGTTCTTCCTCCCTAGCGACATGACTGGTCCGAGAGCTCCACAGATTCGGATGTCCTTCGTCGTCACGACTTCTATGGTCACGTCAAAACACATCTTCAAGCTCCCGTCTTCATCCCGACCGAATATGTGGCGGATACATTTCTTGAACTGGTCAGATTCGAATGTCTCTCCCAGCAGCATAAACCCACCAGATGTCTCCACTGCATATCTCATCTCAGCTGCTCCGACTTGATCGAGAGAGCAAGCGAATAGGTCCAGAGCCACCGATGAATCACAGAGCCTCTTCCCGAGTTTTCTGTAAAACCCGCATGACTTCTCGTGGTAAGGAGCCTGGCCATTGAAAAGATCCCGGTGGGTCCTGATGGAGTTACTAAGGTCCGAGTCCACGACGATTCCGGGGCCCCTTGTCGCGGGACCTGAAGTGAAAACCATTACCCGTGAGCCCGTGTTCACATAACAGCCTTCGAGCAGTCCGAAGGCCGTTGAAATGGCGGCCCCAGTAGATCGATGTGGCCGATGACCTGATTTGAGATTGCCGGAAGGACGGATTTCTTCGAAAGCAGAAGTTATGTTGAACTCACATTCTGACAAAGGAAGCAAGAAACCCTGCTTCTGAAGTGCCAATGCCTTTCCCGGAAGCTGCTTCGAACGACCAAGGCCGAGAAATTGTTGGATCTGAAAGAAATTTCCATGAAATAATGGGAACTTTTCAAGATTCGACAGAAGCATTATCTCTAAAGCCACCAAGTTCTATATGCAGAACCTTAGAAGGAAACGAAAAAGATGAAGGCATAACAATAATCTTCAAGGCACAAACAGGCAACCAGATCACAGACGCAGAATTTGTCCAAACACTGTATCTTCAAGGCACAAACAGGAAACAAAAGCAACTACTTATCACTGTCCGAATCCAACTATCCAGCAATCTGACCTAATCAAGAACTTAGCCACAAGAAGACACCGACCATTCTACGAAACAAAGACAAGAACAAGAACTCAAAGCGTGAACCACAGACATTCAACAGGCTTCAACTCATGGAACTATGGAACACTGTTCAACACGATCATCTCTGCCACAACGGAGGGTTTGAACAAATTAGAACTCGACACAAATCTTTCGGACAGCTTCTTCCTATATACAATTTCATTAACATCTTGGTGAACTTATCAACATCTCTAACCAGAATGCTAGCATCAGATCTCGAAACACAAGTCTTTGAGAAAGGATAGAACTTTTTTAAGAGGTTCCACAGGGATTGTAGATTACCTGCTCCGAAGAAAGCTCGCGTTCGCCATGAAAGACGACCACCTTCAAGCATTCCGTGAAACCAAGATCATATACCCTAACCATGGAATCAAAAGTGATCAGAGCCACCAAGGAATTCTCCGGCAACTGCTCCACCACAAGCAGCAGCTCTGTCTTCACCGCCCGAAGCTCCTCCTCCGCCATACACGCATCGACCACGAATACGAACGCCGGACCCAGTTCACCGGAGCTCAAGCCGCCGCCTGTGGAAGCCAGAGACGAGAACGATGAAGTCGAAGAGAGCGATCTCGACGGCTGAAACCCCGCACTGAGTCCATTAGCCCAGCTCGCCCCAGAGCTAGCCCTCGGGGTGGTGGCGGAGGCGGATTTACGCGGTGGAGCGTATTCGACGGCGCTGTAGGTCGGGAAGAGCTCAGCCGGGAGGTTGGTCTCCGTGATCTCGGCGTAGGAGCGCGGGAAACTGTTCTTGTGTAAGCAGAAGGGGCAACCCCAGATGCGGGACCGGAAATCGAGACGCGCGTAAGGGTTCAACACCGCACCGCAACGGGAGCAGATGAGCGGGTCGTATTGAATCACTGGGAGCTCCGAGGACTGCATCAATGGCGTGCACATGATGCTCAGAGGAACAACGAGGGATTGGCAGTCGGATTTCGTCGTCGGCCATGAGTTCCACGACCACCGCAAACCCTCGATCGCCTCTAGCTCCAAGAAATCCATGAGAGATCTTGATATGGGTGCGATGGATTTTCAATTCATGTTCGTAGGCTTTCGTCCTCTTCGAGAGAACCGAAGAGAACAACTCAACCCAAAGGAGGCAAAAGACGAAGAGAAGAGAAAAAGGACTTTCTGGGGTTGAAAACTGATCTTCTTCTAGAAAATTCTCGATACGGATCGATGTGATTTGAGATCATTTACAACGGGCTTTATTCCTTTTCCAGAAAGAAAAACCCAGACTAGGCAAGGGAAAGTGAAGGAAAATTGAAGAATTTAAGAAAATGACGAAACTTTAACGGGAAAATGGCAACTTCGATCGATTCGGCTGTTGTTTTGATCGGAATTTCTACAGTTCCATGCCGTCGAGGAATCAGAAAAATCCTTCGCTTGAAAATGCGCAAATAAACAAAAACAAACTTAATGGGCCTTTAAGCCCAATATGAAGATGGACAATAATATTCTCTTAACTGAAGCCCATACAAAAAAACGAAAAAAGGAAAAAAAAAATTGTACCTCCGATCGGTGCAGAAACTTCGCCGGCGAATCGATCGGAAGTGAAGCCGCCGTAGAAGGAAGCGATGCTCGGTCTCTCCTATGGCGAACTTTTTCTTCTCATCGGTGCCACCGCCGCTCTTGTTGGTTTGTCTCTTTCCTCTCTGCGAACAACTACTCTTTCGCAGTGTCGATGAAATTTTGCGTTGTTCTTCCAAGTTTGGGTAGTTTCCGCGCATTTGCTCACGATTTCTGTAGAGATATAGAATTGACTCCATGGGATATCAGTCGGGTTCTTTTATTCACTTTCTTCCCTATGGATTCCGTTTAGCCGCTGATCTCATTCGACCCGTAATTTGCCGATTTCTGAGAACTTGTCGCATGTTGTATTCGAACTCTATGATTATCCTTCGATTTAGGTTGCTCTTAAGGTTGTTTTGATAAAGCCTTTTCCGCGTCTCCTGAAGAGAAAGTCAAGAAAAATAAAAATCGGTTTAGCATTAATCACGTGTTTCAGGTCCAAAGGATCTGCCGATCATTGCGAGAGTGGCAGGAAGATTAGCAGGGCGAGCAATCGGCTACGTTCAATTGGCCCGCGGCCAATTGGACAGTGTTATGCAACAATCCCAGGCTCGGCAGGTGTGTTGTTTCAGACCCAGTTTCCTTGTGTTCTTTGAGTTTTCGATGCAATTGCTAAGGGACTACAAGAAAACGGATTCTGAATTCATGCAAGTCATATTTTTTTATATTCTTGGGGTGTAGGTTTGAATACTGAGGGAATTGTGTAGTGATGGGTTTCAGGGAATAAACAGATAAAAGAGTGAATAAGCTTTGTTACAAAATGGGTCGGATTTATTACCATTGAATCCATGATGGACCATGGATTTAGCAGTTTGACTCCATTTGATTCCCTTTCCTTCTTCTGCTGCTTTGAATGTGAAAATGTGATGGCATAAGTATGTTTCTTTCAGTCATTCTCTATATTGATTGGGTGTTCTCTCCTTTTACGAGGTGAAAACACGATTCAATCTTATGACATAGCTTAAATCCCCAGAGATCATATCTCTCTTGAAGTTTCTCATCATGATCAGTTACAAGGCATTTTAGACAAGGATTTTAAACTTGTTCCCATTTTCGTTTAGGTTCACAAAGAACTTCAGGATACAATGGCTCAGCTGGAGGCTATTCGTCATGAAATAAGGAGTATTTCTCTCGTGAATCCTGGTCCTTTGACTCGAAGGGTGGAGGACATTCCTCCAGAGTCTAGTCCTAGTCATCCGGAACCTAGTCCTAGTACAAGCAGCGATCCAGAGTCTAGTCCTAGTCCAAGCACTAATGGTAAAACCGTTACCCCTGGACGATATGTACCCCTTATATTGGTGCTCGTTGTTCTTGTTTCCCTCATCTTGTTTCTGCCCTTATAGGGAGTGCCACATCAACGAAAGTTGAAGAAAGTCTGAAGCATGCTGATCACTGGGCAAAGGTCTCGCATTTTGATCATCCTGGTTGACGCATTTATTATCTCTATCATGGTATTGGTGCAATCACTGTCCCCTCTTTCATGTCCACCAGGCTCAAGAATTTAATGCCTCCTCAGCTTCAGTGAACTTACACTCCCAAGCAACAGCATTTGCTAGACTAGCTCACTCCGAGACTGTAAAATCGCCTTCTTTGAAGAGCAGTGGTGAAAATGATACTCTAAGTAGTGATCCAGGTCTCTTAGCTGTTCTTCCTGTTTCAGCCGAGAGTGCTGGATTTCTTCCAGGTCGGAAAGGTACACATTATCAGCTCTTGTGTGTTACTTGTTCTTTCTTTTACGGTGGCCCTTCCCGGTATTCTGTTCCGGATGCTTGTACCTGAGGATGCTGTTGCACCAATTTCTACAATCGTAATTCATTCAACTAGGGAAATACTCACGGAAGAAGGGGTTTTCTACGAGCGCATAATCCATTAGACCCTTAATTAATGATGCGTGGTGGTTCATTATCTATATTATTGCTGATCAAGACACTCTAAATGCACCACTGTTTGTCTTGCCATGTGAAGAATGTGTGCCGGTTTACACAGTCCCTAGAGCTGTGTCCTTAATATGTCGAGCCCTTTCACTCTGATTGCCTTCCTAGCTTGCATTCACAGACCCTTTTAAGAAGAGATGTCTCGGGTTTTCTCTTTGGTTTGGTTTCATTTATGTGAGGGCACAGAATGTGAAACTTGATCGATTTGATTTGGGGTGCAGAGAGTGTGAAAGGATCAGATATCATGCTGGAGGCAGTTCTTGAAGCAGAAGTGGCGAAAAACGCCAAAGACTTCTTCTCACGGCCCGAGAATCATATTCCACCGCAAAAGGTAGCGCCTTTCTTCTTGCTCTGTGAACGCCCCCCAAGTAAAAATTGCACCTTTCTTCTGAATCTTGTTACTGTTGCAGGTCTAATTGTCTGGGCGATGTTGCTGGATTGAATTGTTTGGAGCATAATTAAACTCTGCGACTAAGAGTTAAGGTTAGGACTCTGTTCTCTATGTTTGATGCCGGATTGATTTCCTGTATATTTGGTATGTCTGTGACATGCTATATATATATATATATATATATATATGATAGAAAATTGAGTTGTAACCATTACACATATCATCCACTCCCGAGATATTGATAGTATTATAATTCATTAGGCTTGCCAACTTGTCATTATAATTGGACCCATCAAACATCGAACGTGCCGTTGCCGCCACAAGACTGCCTGATCCAATAAATCACACACTCATATTATATATGTGCGTGTGTGCGTGTGATCACACATACATGCATGTCTATTGTGCAATACATTAATGAAATTTTGCTGCATTTCTTTGAAGCACATCATCTCCATGTGCTTACTGATCTATGAAAATTGCATTCTGATTCGTATTCTGTTTTTTTTTTTTTTTTTTTTTTTTGGTGATGTGTTATTTATATTACTAAACAATGATATTTTGTTTAGTCTATATTGTGTTTTGGACCGACGGCTACGTTGAATTTCAAAACCATAGCTAATATACGATTAGCTTCACTAACCGCCGATCGTCAAAACGGAACCAATAATTTCAATCTGAATATATGAATAACATAATATATGTTACAATATCTTATATTAAGGACAGTGGAAAGAGTATTTAAGAATAGTAGCATAGTTTATGTATTTTTATTATTATTATTATTATTGGCTAAAATGGAAGAGGGAATAAACAAATAAATAAACAAAAAGCCGTGAAATGAAGAGACCCATCGACATGCACATGGCTTTGCTCCCCTCCCTACACCTATAGAGTCCTTTCAACTTATATAAGTTCCCACCAAATCAATATATCAACAAAGAGAATCTTTTTGGATTTTATTATTCAATATATGCACATATATATACGCATAAGCACATACACACTTGCACATAATTTTGGATTGATGATATATATATATATATATATATATATATATATATATATATATTTTTGTAAGATTATAAATGTTTTATGTAATTTATAGTGGAGAAAGATAACGAGTAACATAAATCTTAGTCTTACCCTCAAAAAAAAAATTGATCAAATTATTCGTTGTGAGCTTTGGTGTATATTATTAACCAAACCAAGAGACACATAGGGTTCAAGTTTATTACTTGCTGTCCGTTACAAATATCCCACATCTTTCATTTCAATTCAGTACACAAACATATATAATATAAACTATATCTATATACCAAATCCAAGAACAAACACAGACATTTAAAGAAGAAATTGAACAATCTTTTTTTATATCGAAAAATATTAATTAACACTGTAAATGTGTTAATTAATACATATGTGTATATATATGGTGTGATGCTTTCAAGCTCTGTTCTTGCATTTCTCCATTGCTCTCGGGGCTGGAATTTTATCACAGAATTAGTTTCGCCTTGAAAATATAGTTTTGACGTAAGAAAATTATACATGTCTTCATATGCATGCAGACGAAATAAATAAAATATTTTATGGAATGAATGAACCCCCAAAGAAAAGAAATATATATAAATACTTTCGTAAATGGAAAATACATACCGAGACCAATGGCTTCAGATCCTTTCATTATACGCAAACGCTTGCATGATTCAACGAACATCCTATATGTCAAAAAAAAAAAAAAGATAAAACGAAACGATATAATTTCTAACGATTCTGATATCTATATATAAATCAATTTCCAAAAAATATGTAGATGTTGATATATAAATCGAAAGATTTTTTCCTAATATAAGATTTTATTGAATTTTCCATAAATAAGCTCAAACCATGATCCATACAATACGTAGATTAATATATCAATCAAATATTGTATTAGAGTGACACAACACAAAATCTATGACGCAAAATTTATCATCAAAAAGGGAAAAAAAATCTCAAATATCCAAATCCACACTAAAATGGGAATTCCAAGAGGCTAGTAACATCAAAATCTATATAGCTATATCTGAATCGCTTCAAATTAATGCATAAACACATCAGCTACGATATTTATGTTTTTACATACATTTTTTTAATCTTTTTTTTTGTAAGATTGATTTACACGTGAATGAAGAAGAATTAGAAACTAGAATATATATATATATATATATATACACATACACACATACACATACGATTAAGGAAGAAGAAGGGTAGAAAGAGGGAAGACGTACAACCAAGGGACGTCGCCGACAAGCATCCAATCGCCATCTTTGTCTTCGTAGGTAGGAACATACTCTGAGCTGTTTAGCAAATCCATCAACTTCCTCTCGCTCATGAAATCTATCATCCCTTCTCCTCCTCCTCCTCCTCCTCCATAGTTTCCTGTATATATACACACACACACACACATGTGATACATGTATGTATGTATGTATGTATGTACGTATGTATAGTATAAAAAAAAAGTAGGGAGCAGTACCCGTATTGGTGAAGGAGCTGAACATGGTGGAGAGGGCAGTAGAGAGGTCATCGTAGCTGGAGTACGTCTTCAAGTCGACTTTCCGGAGGTAAGGAGCTCCGTCAATGGAAACCTTCACGAATGCGTTAGCAGTGGCCTTCTCTCCTTCGCTCGACGTCCTCCCCATCATGTTTTTCCTGTATGTCCTCACTGGTGGCCATCCCACCACCTGTGCCCTAATATATACACACACATATATAGCATAAATCTCAATCCGAATATGGAGAATTTAATTTGTCTTGGGATTAATATCACCCTCGATCGTCATCTCAAAATGCATAAACACACATATATATACATGTATGTGTGAATTAGAGTAAAACTATATATATAGACGAGGTTTAGCTAAGAGAACCTAAAAATGCATGTATTTGGTTCCAAATGTCGTATATATGTACGTATAAGTATCAAAATATTTGGTATCATATTATGTACATATGCTTGCAATTATTTTTTTGAAGAAAAAAAAAAGAGGTTGGAAAGGGTTGAGAGGTAAATTACTTGGCAGGAGGCTTGGGACAAGAACTACTGTCATTGGGAACAGAAACAAGAGAAGAAGGATCTTGCTCCGACAGGGCAGATCCTACGTCCTTGTGAGGCTCATTGTTCAGATTCAGCTTCAGATCCACCGTCTCCGAGAACCCTCTCTTGTTTCCGGCCACCGGAGCTGCCGTCTCTCCGCCGGGCAATCCCAGACACAGCTCCGTCTCCTTCATGTTCAGATCCACGCCGCCTCCCAGCATTTTCCCCCTAATATATGTCTTCCTTACACGTTCCAATGCTCTTTCTGAGATTTTCTTGGAATTATTTCTTGTTCTTGAAAAAAAAAAGTTTTTTTTCCCTTCTCTGTAATATAGTTCTTGAGGTGGTAAGGGAGGAGGAAAGTGGCGAAGACCTCAAATAATATAAGTGTCTTCTGTCTCTGTGCGAGGAGTAGCTGCATGTGTATATCGTATTTAAGACATTTGATAATTGGGTTTTCAACACGTGGAGGAATCTCCACCGTTCGATTAAACCCCCATTCTATTATATATGATATTAGTATGCTTTTAATTTGCATTTGTTGATGTGGTTGAGTATGCCATCATCACCGTCGTCTTCGTCGAGGATTTTTCTTGGGATTAGGGTTATGGATATTCAAGGTCAATATATGCATGTACATATATACTCCTACATTAGCCACTGAAATTTTAGTAAAAATAATATATAAGTACCGAAAGTTTTGTAAAAAAAAAGTTCAAGCAAAAGGGGCGGATATTAATTAATTTCTTATCAATCTCAAGATTTACCAAAACATTAGAAATTAGATATAACATCCATAAAAAAACAATCTCATTTCTTTTGAAACCACGACTTATTTTTCTCTAATTTCGCCATGCACCTTGTTTATTAGAGATTCTTTGGATGTTGACATCTCATATGAGAGTGAGTGTGTGTGTGAATATAGATGTGCATAATTATGATTATAATTAATTATTTGTTATTACAATTTAGCTTCCGAAAGATTCTTCGTCGGAACCTTCCAATTATGCACATCATACCCACATGATTCAATTATTCATCCCACACAACAAAAGGGCAGCCCTCATGTTTAATATTCTCACGCCAATTAAAAGCATATATTATATATCTATTTACAAATAAATAAATAAAATGTGTGTGTACGTATATATATATATATATATAATAAAAACGAAGTGTGTATACAGACACACAAACGAATCATTACTCCAATGTTTTTCAGACATTAAACTACATATATAACACTTTGGTCAACCAAGACATGAGTTTCCAAATTTAATTTTCCACCGTCCACCAGTTATGATAGTATGAACGTATCATGAACTAGGGGAAAAAAATTATATAGTAATAACTAAAGAATTATAAAATTCAAACCCTATAATGTATTAACAAGGAATTTCATTACATCATTTATAACCATAAAAATATTTTGTGGTATTATTATAGATTTCTTCTTAGAAATGAATGTATATATCTCCTACGTATAAAAATATGCAATCGAATTCGATCGTTACATAATAGATGTGGTCTCTAATTAAGAACATTTGCACTTAGAAAACATTTGAGATGGATGTAATGTTTCCAACGTCGCCCTAAACATATATATGAGACTTTGTCTTGAAATGGATCGACTTTCTAGACTTTGCCATCATCAGATTAGATTTTGACATTACAATAAACTGGACATGTAATTGTATAGCTTTAAATTATGTATAAATGAATGAACAAAATACATAATATATAGTTTTTTTTGTAAGATAACATGGCAGACGATGACAATACGTAAGTGAAAGGAAGAAGACAATCATCTCGACATGAAAACAAAGGAAGAGTGGTAATATGCAAACATAAGTGCATATGCAGGAGACATGGAGGGCATCAAATCCAAAAGGGAGTGATCAACATCATCAATATAAATTCCAAAACAATTTTGGTGAGAAGACACATGGAGATGAAGAAGGGACAAGTCACGTCAATTTCATAATACAGCGGGAACATCATAAACCCTACTTGTGTTCCTTGCCCTGTCTCCGTTGTTTCTATCCAAAAACCCTTTTCGTAATTTTGTTTTGGGTTTTCAAATCACTGAAAACTTATCGTATATAATACGGACATCACAACAATTATCATGTGTATTAACTTGTCGTTTGCAATAGATTCGGTTCTTCAGCTTTCAAATAGGGCTAGAAATTGAATCAAACCTATATCAGATGATGATTTGTACCATAATTTAGGATAAACTTGGGAATATATATATGCGATGATGGTGATGTGAGTATGCGTAATATATATATATATATATATATATATATATATATGGGTATATGCAATTAAGAGGTTTATGTACATGGTGGTCCTAATTATACATTTTCAAGGAATAAATGTGTTCAAAGATATGAATGTGAAGGACCAGATGCACTTTTATATGGACATTACGAAGCCACAATTATCAACATTCCACCACAAAAATGAGATTTTTATTCTTCTTCCTACTTAGTTGTTGGGACATACTTTTCACATTCAAGGGAATGAGCTGCGTCCTGCATGCATGCATGCAATTAGAACGACCAAACCCCATACACGCTCTCTATTTTCCCATATTTGTATAAATCACATAAACAAACTAACAATATATATTTCGAGAAAAGTTAATTATAAGATGTTTTATAACTGGGTTTACCTAATACGATTATATATTCAAAAACCAATTATACTATGTTGTAACAGTGTATATATATATATATATCCTTGTTTTTTTTTTTGGGTAAAGATATATATCCCCTTGTTAGTATACGTATAGGATAAATTCGTATCAATGTTAACGTGAAAGAATAGATATACATGATGCGTATATTACACATTCAGACGTATCCTTGACTTGCTATGATATTTGTTATGGATTATCTAAATCGAGTTTGCGCAACCCACGTACAATATTATATATATATATACACACACACACACATGCAGATCATGGACTCTGGGTTATTATGCAGAATCGGCCGGAGTGGTTCGATGTGGTGTTTTCTCCACCACAAAATGGATGGCTGATATTTTTTTTTTAATAAAAATCTCGAAGAAAGATATATATATATATATATATA